ACAACCAAGTCAGTTCTCCCACCGTATCATAGAACTGGCGACTCTGCCGGGGAAAATTCTTAAAGTGGGTTACCTTAGGGTTAGATCACATTTACTTGCTTTCTTTGTTTGACTTGTATGCTTTACATTATGGTTCTTTGTTTGGGTTTGAATCCTCTACCCGAATTTGGGATACCTTATAGGTAAGTAGCAATACATTGTGGAAACTGTGCGGGGTATACCAACATGGTCTAAGAAATAGCTACGTTAGTGCGACATATTTGTGGGTACCGCTAGCCCTTGAGTAGTCAATGAGAATACAAGGCCGCTGAGTGATGTCATGAAGCACTAATGGACTTTTAGAACCTTTACTTGACCAACTTGGCCTTTAGGACGTAGTGAGATGACCAACTTTGGTGCAGTCCGAAGTTGGTAGATACTCGATACTACACTCATTGAGGTTTGGTTTTTTGGGATATTTCGATCGCCATTAAAGAGGCTTGCGCTGAAACAATGCCCAAGGAAACAAATCAGTGATATTGAGCTCCTTAGAACCCAGTTACTATTACTAGGACAGGTTTGAACCAAATAAACTTCAAGAGGGTACTTACCTATGAGACTCCATGCAAGCCTAAACCTAAGGACTTGTTTGCCTTGTTTGTATATATATACTTGTACATAACAACATAAACATCATAACATCATACTCATACTCACTAACCATTTCAAGGATTTTTTGGATTTATCTTTGTTCTGTTTTGTAGGACATGGATTTTATTCGCAGGAAAACCATTCAAGTCAATCTCGTAAGGATCCCTCCTCAACTCAAAGAGTTAGCATAAAAAAATCCCTGAAAATTCTCCATTTACCGAAAGACATGGTCGCCTACTAAACTTGGTTACCTCTAACACTGATGAAGACACAATGAAGGTTCTCTTCCAGTTCTTTGATCCTTTACACCATTGCTTCACATTTCCCGATTATCAACTTGTGCCGACTTTGGAAGAATTATCCCAACTCTTGAGGATTCCCATTCTTAATCAACTACCTTTCAATGGTATGGAAAGAGATCTAAAGCCAGAAGAGATTGCTCAAGCTCTACACTTGCAACCATCTGATATCACAACTAATTGGGAAAAAAGGAGTGGTGTCAAAGGTTTCCTAGCAAAGTTCTTGTTTGAGAAAGCCCAAAACTGTTGTAACTCTTTGGACTTGCAAGACTTTTAGGAAATTGTGGCTCTCCTCATCTATGGGATGGTTTTGATTCCAAATCCTGACCAACTCATAGATATAAACGCCGTCAAAATATTCATGTCTCGTAACCCGATGCCTACTTTGCTAGGGGACATCCTACATTCCTTTCACACTTGCACTATGAGGAAAAGAGGTATCCTCATGTGTTGCACTCCTATCTTGGCAAGATGGTTTATTTTGCATCTTCCCCAGTCTATATTGAAGAACGAGCAAGGCTCAAGATGGTCCCATAGGTTGATGACGCTCAGACATTCAGATATTCATTGGTGTTCCTGCTCTTTGGAGAATGTTACTATCGTCGACCATTGTAGAGAGTTCCCTAATGTCCCTTTGCTTGGCATTAGAGGAGGTATCACTTACAACCCTTATTTAGCCTTAAGACAGTTTAGTTACGCCCGAAGGGATGGTCCACATGAGATGCTTATCCAAGGATTGGTATTCGACTACGAGAATGACAATCAAGGTTACCGTCAGAGGTTTATCCGAGCGTGAAGGATGTTGAACAAGGTGGATAGAAAGACGTTAGGACAAAAGAATTCAATTCCCCTCAAGCCTCACCTTAAATGGGTGCGAGCTCGTGCACAGAAACTTGTGATGCCTTATCCTTCCATCTTACCAGTCATCTTGGAGCCTGTGGTCGAAGGAGATGTTCCCTACACTATCCTCCATCCCGACATGCCTACCTCTCTCGAAGACTTACAAAAGGGTTGGATCCATCTGAAGGAAGAACGAGATACTTTCAAGGCTCAATTCTATGCTAGTGAAAAGAGGGTCTTGGAGCTTATGAAGCGGCTACAAGAAGAGCAAAGTGTGAACGCTTATCTCACGCCAACGAGGATGCGTTCGGTCTTTTTATCTTAGAAAGTCATTTTGTAAGCCCAAGAGGCATGATGTAATCTTTCTTGTTTTGTATAATGAAAATTAAAGTTTGTTCATTATTTTGTCTATACAAATTTAAATTTCATTAATCCTTGAAATCATTTGCATATACATATTCCATACATTATAACACGGCAGGTTTTCGCATAACAGGTTTCCTTATCTTTCTGCTGTTTATTTCAGCAAGATGGATCTAGATAAAACTGTGACGGATCTCCAAGCCCAGAATTCTCAGTTTCTGGAAGCTCTACTATCCCTAGCCAAGGGGAAGCAAGATATGATGGCTTTGCTGGCCGTTAAGAAAAACCCAAAGAAGAAAGCTCTACTCAACATGGGAAGAAGGTTCAAGGAGACAATCTGTCAAATACCAATAGGAGGAGACTCATCTGAAGAGGAAGAGAACCAGGTCGGTGAGGTCAAAAGTACTCAGGCTGAATGTGCTAAGGATCAAGAATCTGATGATGATTATTTTAACGAGCAATATCCACCCACTGATATCAAATACAAGCAGTTAGAAGACAAATTGAAAGCTGTTGAAATCCAAGCCATCCCCGGTTTAGATTTTGATGATTTGGGTTTGATCTCTGGGGTAGTCATTCCCCAAAAATTCAAAATACCAATATTTGAAAAGTACGATGGGGTTTCTTGTCCAAAACTCCATTTGAAATCTTATGTGCGCAAGATACAGTCGCACACTGCTGATAAGAAGCTATGGGTTCACTTTTTCCAAGAGGGCTTGGCGGGAACACAACTTGAATGGTTTTATCAGTTAGATGGTTCTTGTATCAATACTTGGGAGGATTTAGCTACTGCCTTCTACCATTAGTATCAGTACAACGCCGACTTGGCGCCAACGAGGGTTCAATTGTAAGATATGACCATGGGGAAGAATGTAGGATTTAAGGAATATGTGAAAAAGTGGAGAGACCTTGCTAGTAGGGTCCAACCTCCCTTGACTGATAGGGAGCACATCGACATGTTCATGGGCACTTTATCTGGTCCTTTCTTTAATCTGTTGGTTGGCTGCTCTTCTTCTGGTTTCACCAAATTAATCTTAACCAGTGAAAGAGTTGAAAGTGGAATTAAAAGTGGGAAGATCTCTGTGGCATCTACCTCCACTCCCAATCCTATCAAGAAACCTTTTGCTGCAAAGAAGGAAGTCAATGTTGTGCACGGGGAAAGGGCTCATACCAAGAATAATGATCATCCGTCTGTAAATGTTGTCTGAATCTCCAATCCAACTCCTACTCCAAGACCATCTACGAATCATCAATGTTTTGAAACTCCAAGAAGACAATTTACAAGGTTAGTCATGTCACTGTATCAAGCCCTTCAACATTTGCTCAAGTCTAACTTAGTGACATTACGCGATCCTCCCGTCAACCCCGACACCTCGTTACTAAAGTATAATCCGAATGCTAAGTGTGCTTACCATTCAAACAGCCCCGGGCACGAGACTGACCAATTCTGGGCCTTGAAGAACAAAATCCAGGATTTAATTAACAACAAGACTATTTAGTTTGATCCTCCTCCAATGCCGAATGTAATTACCGCTCCGATGCCGAAACATGACAAGAGTGTTAATGTTGTTGAAAATACATTTTTTTTTGCCTCTGTTGAAGAATTTACTACTCTGATGAATGTAATCAAGAACTATCTGTTGAAAGCTGGGATCTTCCCTGGATGTGAAAAAGACTGTGTGTGTTGTACAAGACAACTCAATGGATGTGAAGGGATGAAGAAAGGCATACAACGCCTGATGGATAGCCATATAATTCTATTTGAAAAGACTCCACTTGCCAAAAGTTTGATTGACAAATGTGAAGACCTCTCCATTATTACCATCTCAAACAAGCCTCTTAGGATACCCTCCAAAGGTCCTATTAGGATTTCAAATGAACCCACTGTTTCTCCCTTAATAATTACCAATCCCGGACTGATTCCTTATTCTTAAAACAAAGCGGTACCATGGAATTAAGGTGCTGAGGTGTTCTATCATGGGATTAAACAAGATGGTTGGATCGAAGAAGGAAAAGATGACAATGTTGGTAACATAGCTGGCTCAAGCAAGGTAACTAGAACTGGAAGAATATTTTCACCCAATATCTCACCACCAGTTGTTACAAGGACGCCCATCCGAATTACTGCTGCCAAGCCAAGTACCGATATAAGAGGGAAGGAGAAGGTTGTTGAGCCTGATGTGATCGAGGTACCCTCCAAGGATGTTGCCAATGAAGAACCCTCCGCTCGCGAGATGGACGAGATTTTAAAGATCATAAAAAGAAGCGACTTCAAGATTTTAGTACAGTTAGGGCAAACCCCTTATAAGATTTCAATGTTATCATTGCTGCTTTGCTCTGATGCCCATGCTCGAACATTAATCAAGTTCCTGAAAAAGGCTCATGTCCCCATGAAAGAACAACATACCAATTTCAGAATTGCATGGCTAGCCTGATGTAATACCCCAAATTTGTCCTACCCTTTCACTCTTATGTTGCTTATGCATTTTTTATTTTTCTCATGTACATAAATCCAATTAGGTCATCTAACATATCATTCATTCATTAATAAATGAATATTTAGCACGGGATCAAAGATGTTGAGGAATTGGGGCTATTGTACAGCTTTAAGGTTCTCGTCTTCATTCAAGGGATCAACTGGTTTCATAATCAATCACGGTTTGTGAAGCTAGGGTTTTTGTGTTCAGGGTCAGTGATATCTGTATCCTCCTCAAGCTATGAAGATCATCAAGTTCTCCATCGAAGGGTTGTGACTTGTTAGTGCAAGGTTTTTATTAATACCTCAAATAAAGACTTTGCAAGCTAGGGCTTAGGCCTTCTTAGCATCTCAAGGAAGCTTAGGGTTTTGTGATCACCATCATTATTCATATGCTTCTAATTGCTCCTATCTTCAAGGTTTTCCTCGACATTTGCTTGGAGATCATTATTCATCAAAATGAGGTGCCTTTGCGAAGTGAATTGCAAGATTTAAACCATGGTATAAAGGTAATGTCGTAGACGCGTAATATGATCAAGGCATCATTATTATATGTCGCCTTGATTACAAGAGGTAGATATAATATGGAAACTAAGAGTTTTAGCAAGAGGGCGAGATTGATTTGGTTTGGTTCTTATGGATTCGTTATTTAGAATCATTTGAAATACTACCTAATATCATGGATTAAAGTTGTTTGAAGTTTCATTAGAAGAGTGTGGATTTGGACATGAGACTTCGCATGAACTTAATGGAATTAATTCTAAGTTGAAAATTGTTTGAGATCTTATTCAAGAGTCCATGTTAAGCACTTGTTTTTCTTTCATCCTATTTGTTGGTACTTATTCAAGCGTCGCAAGAATTAAAGGAAAATTTGGAAATTAAAGCAAAACATATGGGGGGAAGACGAATTCCAAACTTTGTTTTAATGGAGAAGGACCATTGCATATTACAATTTCAATCTTTATTCAAATTGCACCTAAATCTGTTCAAAGCACCATGGATATGGAAGTCATTACAAGTCAACGTTCAGAAATATTCAACAAAGAGGATTGGGGATACAAATTAGGCATTCAATAACAATTCAAGAGACATTTACATCAAGGATGCAAAAACACATCAGTGGAAACCTAATCTTAAACTAAACATAATCCAAGTTCTTCATCTTTAGTGACCTTCATAACTCATTACCCTCCTGTCCATATTTCAAGATTCTTGCCTTAACAATGATCCTCCATACTCTTTGTCTATCTCCAATTTCTCGTCTCAGGCCTCATACTTCAAAATTATTGCCTTGCAGCTTTGAATGATGGGACATTGAGCTAGGTCCAATACACAACAACCGTTAAGCCGATCCCTCTGCACCATAAAACCGCATCTGATTTAAATTTTTGTCAAAAATCACATACATGATTCAATAACAATTCAAGCTAGTTCATGTACGAAACACAAAAAATATCAACAAACTCAATTCAACCCTGTAGAAAAACCAGAAAAATCATGAAGTGGAAACAAAACCAGTTGAAACCAACTACAAAACCAACCGATTCAACTAACTTCCTAAACCTCTTCTAACTTCTTCCTAACAGAACTACAAAAAAAGATATAACAGAATACAGAAAAGAAAGAGAGGGAGAGAATTCACAATTTTTTTCACCAGGAAAGTCAGAGGAAAATCGATTATAGGAAACTCACCAAGAACAATCAGAAGAATCTCTCAAGAAATTCTCTCTCAACTTCACTAGTCTTCATCATCCATTCTTCAATTCTCTATCAACAACCTTTGTCTTTCTCTCTAAATTACAACTTCGTGATAACAACTTTTCATTATATTTTTTCTTCAATCTTCTGCAATATCCCCATAACCAAACCTCTTTCTCCCTCAACCAGATCATCATATTTCAACCTCTTCAAATCTTCATTCATCATCAAAACTGAAATACCTCTAATCTCCATTTGTTATCAATATCAAATCGCATCCCTGTAATTATCATCATCTTCATCTTTGTTCATCAGCAATGCTCAATCTGTAACAAAGTCAGCAACAACAATTTCTTAGCATTGCGTTTTTATCATCATCAGGCATATGCAAAACCGCAAGAATCATAAGAAGCAAGTTTCGAATCATAGAAAAGAAACAGTGTCAGAAACGAAAGGCATACTTTAGCTTCTCTGAGATATCGCTAACGACGAAATCGATTCGGAATCGTGTTTTGAAGCTGAAGCTGAATCAGAACTATATGAGAGGTAGAATCGCAGAGGACCTCAAAGCAGAAGCACCGTGAGTACGCGTCTGAATGAGACAGAGTCTCGCGTCGGAATTAGATCGAAGACAGAATTGAAGCCGGACGAAGAACGTTGAAGATGCGGTGGAGATCGGTGAAGATATGACACAAAGAAGATGATGAAGTTGTCACACCGCATTCAAAGAGAGAGACTGAGATGGACGGAACCGAAGCTGAAGCAAGCTGGATGTTGAGTCGAAGAAAGTTGTCACAGGGATATGAGGCGACGTCGGAGATCGTGAGATTCTGAAGAGTTTTCTTATCTCTTGCGTGGTTTTGAAGAGGCAATGCTCTGTTAGGAGAAATTTAAGGAAGCACTCGGTAGAGTTTTCTTATCACTTGTGTGGCTTTGAAGAGGCAACAGACCTTCTCCGTTCGGTATCATCACAACCTTATTTTATTCCTCATTTCCGCACTTTACCTCTTTTCTAGATACCATGAGAAGTAGGAAATAAAGAGCGTGCGCTCGAAGTCGCTGTTTAAAGACCTGTAGCAGGCATTCCGCACTTCATTTGCTATATATGTTGTGCTTGTGTTTGTTTCCTTGGTTGTTGATCGATGAGTCACTCAATTTAGAAATTGATATGACGACTTCTCTCTCAGTGCATGCTCCCTATAGGCTTTTATCGCTTTCTGTTATTTCTTGTTGATCGATGAATCACTCAATTTAGAAATTGAGATCACGACTTTGCTCTCATTGCATGTTCCCTATAGGATAGTTTTGTTAGAATTTATTTGGCACACTAACCTAGATAGGATCTCCCTAGGTATGATCTCTTGAGTTTATTAGCTTGATTGCTTTATCCTTGTACATACCATGTTCCTTTAGGATGCACTTGCTCCGTTCGGACGCAAGTTAAACTTTAGGTTGTAAACCATGCATACTAACATTAGGTAGACGTTTCCCTTTTGTTAATCCAAATCTTAGGACCACCATTGTATGATAACATTAGGTTAGAAATAGGCTAGTCTCCCTTAGACTCCTTTCTTCCCCTTTTCCATATGCATCTAAAACTAAAGTCTTTTTCTTAAGCAAATCAAAAACATGTTAATCACACTTAAACCCTTTTTCAAGGTGATAAAACACAAACCAATTCAAACCATTTTGTGCGCTCGAGCACCTTTTCTCTAAAACTCTTTTCAGGTAAGGACATGATTAATTTACTTATGTGTCAACGCATAAGTCTCCAAAGGTTGAGCTGCGGAAGAGTTGGCGAAATTAACATTGTCCATATAAAAAACACAAAACAAACAAAAACATGTGAGCCGAACTACAGTAGCTCTGATTCCTCAAAAAGGATACGTAGGCATTGGGGTAGGGCCCAAGCGAGTACAATTTTATTTTCCCTACATTATTTTCTCCTTTCTTTTGCATGCATTCTCCCTTCAGTAATATTGTAAACAGTAAGCATAGATTGAACACACTCATAAGATAGACAACAAAAGTGGATACCGTAGAGTACTACGGGCGTATGAGGTGCTAATACCTTCCCCTCGCGTAACAGACTCCCTTACCTGATCTCTCGGTTGCAAGACCGTGACTTCTCCCTTATTAGGTTTTCTCGATGTTTACCTTTCCCTCCATGCGGGATAAAAGACGTTCAATGGCGACTTCATTGTGTGATGATTTTCAGTCGATTGTTTCACCTGATAGCTGACAATGGCTTGGGGTTTTCAGATGCTGACTTAAGACCTCTCGGGAAGAATCACAATAAAGCTTTACATGTTTCTATCGAGTGCAAAGGGACTACCTTAGCACATGTGCTAGTCGACACTGGTTCTTCTCTGAATGTATTACCCAATGGGGTGTTAGACCGTCTCGACTATGAGGATTTAGCCTCGAAGCCAAGTGATATCATTGTAAGGGTGTTTGACGAATCAAAGAGGACTGTTCATGGGGAGGTATATCTTCCAATCAAAGTGGGCTCCCAAATCTTCAACTCCGCCTTATATATTATGGATATTAGTCCTGCCTATTCTTGTCTGTTAGGTCGCCCGTGGATCCATAAAGTTGGAGCAGTAACCTAAACCCTCCACCAAAAACTCAAATATCCAGTCAAGGGCAGAATAGTCACCGTCTGTGGAGAAGAAGAGTTTATGGTGAGCCACCTTAACTCTTTCAAGTACGTAGAGATGGATGGAGAATTCATTGAGACCCCGTGTCAAGCCTTTGAGGTTATACCACCGATGATTGCTGCTACTAAATGTTCTTTTGATGAGTTTAAAGCTGTTAAATTCACGCCAAAGATGGTCTCGGTCAAGGATGCCCGCGCGACAATTAGAGAAGGAAACTGCGATACTTTGGGGAAACTCCTCGGTATCCCATTTAAAGCGGATAAGTTTGGTTTGGGCTTCACCTTCAAAGCTCAGAAGGAAGTGAGGCGTGCTCGTGTTGGAAATCCACCTCTCTGCATTGGAAGCCATGAAGTCAACATCCTGGGTGATTCTGAAGAAGAAGCTGCATTTGAAGAGTGGGTGTATCCAACTACAACGGAGCTGAAGAATTGGCATGCGAAGGACTTTGTGCCCATCTCCTTCATTGAGGAGTAATCTACTTGTTATTTATTTTCTTTCAATTCAAGAATATGTTATCTGTAATATTTTAACAATGAATTTTCATCCATTTTCCTGGCCCGGGGCACTTCGGTCCATTTGTCAAGGGTTTTATTTATGTTCATCTAATCATATAATCATTCAGTACATTGGAATCTTTTGCATTCAAATGTTTGTGTTCATTGTCTTTCCTTTCTTTCAAATACATTTTTCAAAAAAATAGCCATGTATCTTACATGTACATACACACACTCTTGCAGGTCCACATCCACTCTAGATCCTATTGCCAATGACTCTACTATTTCCGACTATAACTTTGAATGTCCTATAAACCAAGCCGAAGAAGAAGGCGAGGAAGATTGTGACATACCGGGAGAACTAGCCAGACTTCTATTACAAGAGGAAAAAGCTATTCAATCGCACGAAGAGTCAGTTGAAGTTATCAACTTGGGTACTGAGTCAAATAAGAAGGAAATCAGAATTGGCGCTAATTTGGAAAGCAGTGTCAAGAGCAGGTTGGTTCAGATGTTGCATGATTATATGGAAGTATTTGCTTGGTCTTATGAAGATATGTCTGGGTTGAATACCAACATCGTAGTTCATCGTCTACCGACAAGAGAGGACTGCCCTCTTCTTAAACAAAAGGTTCGTCGCATGAGGCCTAATATGTATGAAAAGGTCAAAGCTGAAGTAATGAAACAATTTGATGCAGGGTTCCTAGCTGTGACATCCTATCCTCAATGGGTTGCCAATGTGGTGCCAGTGCCAAAGAAAGACGGAAAAGTTCGCATGTGCGTAGACTATAGGGATCTGAATAGGGAAAGCCCCAAGGATGGCTTCCCTCTACCATACATTGACGTCTTAGTTAATAATACTGCTCATCATAAAGTCTTCTCTTTCATGGATGGCTTCTCAGGCTATAATCAAATAAGGATGGCTCCCAAAGACATGGAGAAGACTACTTTCGTTACGCAATGGGGCACCTTCTGCTACAAGATCATGTCGTTCAGATTGAAGAATATAGGGGAAACATATCAAAGGGCTATGGTAGCTTTATTTCATGACATGATTGATCATGAGATAGAGGTATATGTGGATGATAAGATTGCCGGATCACAAACCGAAGAAGAACATTTCGATCACTTGTACAAACTATTCGAAAGGATGAAGAAGTATAAGCTGAGGTTAAACCCTAACAAGTGCACGTTTGGAGTACGATCTGGAAAGCTTCTAGGTTTTGTCGTTAGCAATAAAGGCATTGAAGTTGATCCTGCCAAGGTAAAAGCTATCCAAGAAATTCCAGTCCCTCATTATGAAAAAGAAGTCAGAGGATTCTTGGGTCGTCTCAATTACATTGCTCGCTTCATATCACACTTAACTGCTACTTGTGAGCCACTCTTTAAACTCTTGAAGAAAGATCAGGTAGTCAGATGGAACGATGAATGCCAGATTTCCTTTGAAAAATCAAAGAATACCTACAAGAACCTCCTATTCTCATGCCTCAAGTTGAAGGAAGACCCTTGATCATGTACTTGACAGTATTAGAGAACTCTATGGGGTGTGTTTTGGGCCAACATGATGAGTCTGACTGAAAAGAGCATGCTATTTATTACCTGAGCAAAAAGTTTACCGACTGTGAAACAAGATATTCACTGCTCGAGAAAACTTGCTGCACTCTGGCATAGGCTGCTCGCTGGCTAAGACAGTATATGTTGACTCATACCACTCTGTTGATTTCTAAGATGGACCCAATCAAGTACATCTTAGAGATACCTGCCCTTTCCGGACGGATAGCCAGATGGAAAATGATCTTGACTGAGTATGACATTCACTACACCACTCAAAAGGCCATCAAAGGAAGTGTACTAGCAGATCATTTAGCCCATCAAGTTGTGGATGATTATCAGTCAATAAATTTCAACTTCTCTAATGAGAACATCATGTTGGTAACCGACTGTGCAAAACTTGGACCATATGACAGACCTGAACAAGGATCCCGATTGACTATGGTCTTCGATGGGGCTTCCAACTCCTTAGGTAACAGAATTGATGATGTAATCATCTCTCCTGATGGTTGCCACACTCCTTTCACTGCCAGTCTATGCTTCGATTGCACAAAAAATATAACCGAGTACGGAGCATGCATCTTAGGTCTGAAAGCTGCTATTGACTTAAGAATCAAGCATTTGGATGTGTTCGGGGATTCCTCCCTAGTGATCAGCCAAGTAAAAGGAGATTGGGACACTAAACACCCTAATCTTATCCCTTACAAGGAACTTGTGCTATCCCTAATTCCTTACTTCAAAGAGATCACTTTTGAGCACTTCCCTAGGGAAGAAAACCAGTTGGCTAACACTTTGGCAACCATGTCTTCAATGTTCAAGGTCAGATGGGACAATGAAGCCCCTATGATAACAATTGAAAGATTCGATGAACCTGCACACTGC